GTAATTAACACTAAGAAATTAGAATGTCAAACTTGACACTCTTTGGCTGCTATTTGAGGTAAGTGTAATGGCCTGTAGTACCTATGTTTCTATGATACTTGCTTCCATGTTGTCCATATGTGACGATATGGGAAGGGAACAGTAACTGACCATCGCCTCCAACACTGTTTAACCCCTTCACTTAATTCTCATCTTCTGAGACAGCAAATACCACTCCCCGCTAATACCCTTCTCTCCCCTGACAGCAAATACCACACTACTAATCACTGACTCCCCTTTCCTCTGTTAGACTTTCCTCTCCGCTAATGGCAAGCATAACACTTTACTTGCGGAGAGTTTTCTTCTCGAGAATGGTACACATTTTACAGTTCCCTTAATTTTCCCACTAACATTTTTGATTCCTCAGAATTTTATTGTGATTAATTTATACCCAAACTCAACCAGGAAGGCTTCACAAAATAACAGCATTATATCGTTAACTACTTAATGATGGTAGAATTAGAGTGAGGTTAATTATCACGAGGGATCACCCTCTAGATAGAGGCAAAAATTATTAATTAGCATGAACGAAAGAATGATCTATGAGCAGAGCCCTGGTAAGGAAGAGGAAAGGAAGAAGGATATTGATGGATGGAAATAGGTATAGGTGAGGGGGGGGATGTACCTGGAGTCTACCTGGAGGGTGTCTCGGGGGTCAACACCCCCCTTGGCCCAGTCCTTGATCAGGCCTCCCGGTGGATCAAGCTGTTAATGCTGGCTGCACATAGCAACGTACGAACCATAGCCCGGCTGATATGACAGGAGGAGGCAAAATTCACGGACGACACCATTCGATTCGTGAACACGAACCACAGCTAAAACTTTCGTATTCGACAGCACCTGGCGCACTGAACTACAAATAATTCTGCAAATGGTAAGACTGCACCAGCACTCCTCAGTACCTGGGCAAACATTCTAAATGCTGGGGTAGCGTATCCCAGCTCGGTGTACCCAGCATGAATATTAATCCAAGCATAAATAATTAGGTCACTGGATTAAACTAGCACTGTGTATAATAATTCAAGTTCTTTATGATGCAATCAAAAGAATTAACTATTATCACTCATTTATTATCATAAATAATTTACTGATACATTTATTATGAGGACACTTGTATGTATATTATTACCGCAGTTAAATGAAACTCTAACGTAATCCTAAACAGGTCGTAAACGTTTGAAATATGACGTTGGTCAATTATGTATATAATAGTGGTGAGCTTAGTCAGAGTTACGGCGCGGTCAACTTGCACGATAATAAATGGCGAATATGTGGTAATCGAGACTGGACAGTCGCGGTACCACTAAGGTATGTTAATATGACACAATGTGCGGATTATGGTATTTTATTTAAGCGACGTTTCACCCAGCAGGGACCTGATCAATTCACCAGAACTGATAAAGTATCACGTGAACGACACTCATTGTCAATCAAAAAATGCCGCATATTGTGTCCTCTTAACATACTGGTCGGTATACAATATCACTGATAATACTAATAGAATCTGGATAAAAAACACACACACACGCTCAAGACATTTACTGAATGAGACGTATCGCCACGGGTCCCTACATCGATTCTAGTCCATTATCAACGATTTATCAATCCTCACAAGAACCGGTCAGGCCACCAGTGGCAAAAAACTCCCTCAATAAATGCCCTCATTGTGTATATGCGTATTAATCCCGCACTCTGTAGTACAATACTACCCTCTGCTCCCTTCATACTTGGTTACTTCTTCATGTGAAGTCTTGGGTGTGTAGAACCAGAGTTGAAGTCTTGGGTGTGTAGAACACGAGTTGAAGTCTTGGTTGTGTAGAACACGAGTTGAAGTCTTGGGTGTGTAGAACACGAGTTGAAGTCTTGGGTGTGTAGAACACGAGTTGAAGTCTTGGGTGTGTAGAACACGAGTTGAAGTCTTGGGTGTGTAGAACACGAGTTGAAGTCTTGGGTGTGTAGAACACGAGTTGAAGTCTTGGGTGGGTAGAACACAAGTTGAAGTCTTGGGTGTGTAGAACACGAGTTGAAGTCTTGCGTGTGTAGAACACGAGTTGAAGTCTTGGGTGTGTAGAACACGAGTTGAAGTCTTGGGTGTGTAGAACACGAGTTGGAGTCTTGGGTGTGTAGAACACGAGTTGAAGTCTTGGTTGTGTAGAACACGAGTTGAAGTCTTGGGTGTGTAGAACACGAGTTGAAGTCTTGGGTGGGTAGAACACAAGTTGAAGTCTTGGGTGTGTAGAACACGAGTTGAAGTCTTGGGTGTGTAGAACACGAGTTGAAGTCTTGGGTGTGTAGAACACGAGTTGAAGTCTTGGGTGTGTAGAACACGAGTTGAAGTCTTGGGTGTGTAGAACACGAGTTGAAGTCTTGGTTGTGTAGAACACAAGTTGAAGTCTTGGGTGTGTAGAACACGAGTTGAAGTCTTGGGTGTGTAGAACACGAGTTGAAGTCTTGGTTGTGTAGAACACGAGTTGAAGTCTTGGGTGTGTAGAACACGAGTTGAAGTCTTGGGTGTGTAGAACACGAGTTGAAGTCTTGGGTGTGTAGAACACGAGTTGAAGTCTTGGGTGTGTAGAACACGAGTTGAAGTCTTGGGTGGGTAGAACACGAGTTGAAGTCTTGGGTGTGTAGAACACGAGTTGAAGTCTTGGGTGTGTAGAACACGAGTTGAAGTCTTGGGTGTGTAGAACACGAGTTGAAGTCTTGGGTGTGTAGAACACGAACTTCTACAGCAGAATTTCTTCGTGTATATATTCTGTGCTGACAATTCCTATTATGCAATTCTAATATTTATTACTATTATACTATTACCGAATAATTCCATTCAAGATCATGCTCCATTAATCCAAAATAGTAATAGTTAATGATATTTCTTACACCAATATTTTTTACTGTTCTTGCAAGAGACGAGGCATTCATCTCTCTCTCTCTCTTTTTTTTTTTTTTTTTTTTTTTACACAGGGTTTGACAAGGTTAAGGATCCCTAGCTTTATTGACAAGCTATTTACAGGTTAAGGATTCCTAACTTTATTGGCAAGCTAAGAGCTGTTACCTACATCAGCTCATTTGAAAGCATATTTATTGTTATGAGACATACAAGTAGGGAACAGGATGAAGTTGGAGCCATCTGTGGGGCAGCATTTTCATGTGATCAACTGACTTTATCTCGTTGACATCATTATGCTGTACGAATGTGTTCCATACTCGAGTCATCCTGGGTATATATGATCTCAGATGGAGTGATGTTCTGGAGAAGGGTACAGCCAGAGTGAAGTTGCTGCTTTCTGCCCGTCTTGTGGCATAAAAGCTTGTTTCACGCTGTCCTCGAAGTGGATCCAAGTGTGGTACTTTGACAATATTGGCCTTGTACATAACAGTAAGGCCACCCACATCCCTCCTATGTTGAAGGCTCTGCTGAAATGACAGATCTATCCAGGATGGGTCCAGGCGAGAGATGAGACGTCTTGCTCTGCTCTCTACTCTGTCAAGCAGTCGCAGATGAGAGGGGGGGAGGGCAGGCGAACCAAGAAAGTGGAGCATACTCAAGGTGTGAGCGCACTTGTGCCTCGTACAGAATCTTGCAACCCCTACTGTCAAGCAGGTGCGAGATACGGCAAAGTGCTGTAAGCTTCCTGGCTGCCATGTTTGCAAGATTTTCAACATGGTTCTTCATGGTTAGTTTGGAGTCAAATTTCACCCTAAGAATATCAACTTCTCCAGGTGCCAACACCCTCCCATTCATCCTTACTACTGAACCAGCATTACCATCATGGTGCCTAGAGACGATCATCATTTGCGTTTTCTCAGGTGCAAATGTTACTTGCCATTTCTCTCTCTATCTCTCTCTCTCTCTCTCTCTCTCTCTCTCTCTCTCTCTCTCTCTCTCTCTCTCTCTCTCTCTCTCTCTCTCTCTCTCTCTTCTGTCTCCTCTCTCTCTGTCTTCTCTCTCTCTCTGTCTCTCTCTCTCTCTCTCTCTCTCTCTCTCTCTCTCTCTCTCTCTCTCTCTCTCTCTCTCTCTCTCTCTCTCTCTCTCTCTCTCGCCCTCTCTCTGTCTCTGTCTCTGTCTCTGTCTCTGTCTCTTCTCTCTCTCTCCCCTCTCTCTCTCTCTCTCTCTCTCTCTCTCTCTCTCTCTCTCTCTCTCTCTCTCCTTCTCTCTCTCTCTCTCTCTCTCTCTCTCTCGCCCTCTCTCTCTTAGTGTCCCATTATCTGAGCTTCCATTATGATGAAAATTAGACATATGCAACATCTGGGTGTCTTTATTGTAGACGTTTCGCCATCCAGTGGCTTTATCCATACAACTTCAAGGACATGATTGGAAGACAACTTCCATTATATTTGAGTTGAATATGTTTCACGAATTGTTATTACTAATAAAAACCATCTCTTCTCGCGTTTGTACACACACTCAGGGACGTGCTTTCTAAAACAATGATAAGAGGAATTGTTGCAATGTATTTAATGAAACGTAGATCTAAACGCGAGGAGTAGACGAACTACGGCCAGCTAGCCTACACAAGGTGCCGAAGTGTTATCTTGTTATGTGGAACTGTGTTGTAAGAATATTTGCGTGTGTACACAAACACTGATGAGGTGGGACGATCTTTTAAATCAGGCAGAATTTCCCACCACACTGTTAATCAAAAACTTCTCCGCCTCCTCTGTTTTCCTTTCCAATTATCACACTGCCAGAGTATATGCGGCTGACTCCTCCACCTTACATCCCAGAGGGGCAGTACCACACCCCACTAACACTCCTTCCATATACCCCATAGGGCCAGTACCACACCCCACTAACTCCATTACCTTCCCAAATACACAGGATGACTAGTATCACACCCCAATTACTCTCCATTCTTCTCCCCAGTCGGTAGGTACTACATCCTACTAACACTCCTTCCATATACCTCAGACGGCGGTACCACACCCTACTAACTTCCTACTCTTCTCCCCACAGATGGCAAGTATCACATGACTAGCGAGGGAGAGCTTCACGTGCTGGAAGTTGGTCCTCAAGATGGTCTCTCCAAGTTCCAATGTCGCACCCTGCACCAGCTGACTGGCAGTAGCCAGTTGTCTCGCACCCCAGCTAGAATCATTATCACAGGTAAGATATACATTCCTCTTATATACTCAGCCCCTGCCCTGCACCAGCTGTCTGATAGTAACCAGCTGTCTCCACCTCCTCGAGATATGATCCGCCGCCTAGTAGTATCTCTCACTTTCAAATCTCTCCCAGCTTCTCTCGTGTTGTTCTAGTCTCTGGCTTCTCTACCGTAACAGTCAACACACTCATCCGCGGTTGCGGTGAGAGTATCTCTCTATTATAAAGGAGCTCTTCCAGGCCACCATTCCAGCAGGCTGGGGATAGCACACTCTCGCCCCGATTGTTATTTTATGCATGAAAGACGCAGCCGGATGACGCTGGAGATCTCTCCAATACCTTCCCTTTGTCGGTTCTCTCTCTTTCTCTCTCTCTCTCTCCATCTTTGTTCTTCGTCTTTCCCGAACTTTTTTTTCGCGCGCTCGTATCTCCCCCCCCTCCCGCTGCCCCCGAAGCGTCGTTTCTCGCGCCCCGATACCTCGGTGCGCAATTTTTCCCTCACGGATCGCGAGTTTTTTCACCCCTTCCCTCCCCCCAAGTTGTTTCTAAATCTTCATATGCTCCCGCCTGTCCTCCTCTCCCTCCCATTTCCTTCCCAACATCTGAGGTAGTTTTTGGGCCACCATTTATACCTCTCGTATTTCATGTCCTTGTACGACATTTCTTTACTTTCAACTTTTGCATTTTTTTTCTCTCTCTCTCTTCCTCTCTGTGTATTTCTTTCCCCTGAGACCAGTAGCTGCCTACACTTTATTCTGGCATTAATACCACAGCTCGAGATGGTCTTTAAATTCTTATTTTCGCGCTTTAATTGAGAGACCAATTTTTCAGGCGCTCTATTCCCGTCTCGGGAGTTACGCCAACGCTTTTTTTTTTCTTTTTTTTTTGCGCCTATTTTAGCATCCCCGTAATTTTTACGACGTTATTCTTTCTCCCTCGCGACTTTTCGTTTCTCTCGCTACCTCCGCTCTCTCTCTTCCTTTCCTTCGTACTGTCTTCTCCCCTCCATCGTTATCTCGGAACTTCCGTTTCTTCTTTATATTTTCGTCCGTTAAGGCCTTCCATTAGGCAATTTTTTTTTATTTATATTTTTCCTGCTTTTTCCAGCTGTTTTAATGCATTTTTCCTTCCTGCAAATTCTGGTAAGTGGTTTTCTCAGTGTGATGTCGTTCTTTTTACCATTAAATATTTTCCAGTTTTAATATTTATGTAGTTGTTTACGTATTATTTTCATCAGTTGTGGAGAGCAGACTCTGGTAAGCAGACGCTGGTCATCCTTCTCTTGATACAGTAGTGGACAGCAGACTCTGGTGATCCTTCTTTTGCATATGCAAAGCGTCACGTGGACTCGAACTCAGGTTAACCAGGATGCACTCATGAATACAACCGCGGAGACCAAACTAATCTGCCTATGTCTACCACAAATACATCAACGTTCAGTGAGAAGAGGGGCCGTGAGGAGAGGAATGGGTCGAGGAGAGTGCCGAGGTAGTAGAGACAATAAGAGATTTCTTGTATGAAGATCTCTTACAACTACGAGGCTGGAGCTTTCCTTTCTAGATATATTCTTGATGGAGGTATATACCTGCAAGAGTATAATTCAGCTAATTTCCAGCAGATAAAGGAGTGGATCTTCTCTATCCTTTTTCTGAATAAACCATATGGGTTTATAGTTTATATCCGGGGAAGAGAGCGAAAATGCACGACTCTCTAAACCACTGAACCTACAATCCTACAAACATGAACCTAGCGAACCAGGCTTCAATCCCCTTGGATCGCCGCAATTTGTTATTGATTAAATACCACTTGTTCGTGGTTATAATAATATATGTACAGCTTGTGGAGGCTGTACACCAAACGGGGAGTAGAATGAAATTAGCTCTGAGGCGCCCACACCATCGTATGTCCTCGCAACATGAAGCAAGCCTAGGTCGCTAGGCTCAAGTTGTTTGTAGGATTGTATGGTCTAGTGGTTTAGAGCGTCTTGAATTTTCGCTCTTCCCACGAGACGGGCTATAACAATACGGGTTCGATCCTCCGGCTAGCCGCAATTTGTTGACTAAATAATATATATATATATATATATATATATATATATATATATTATATATATATATATATATATATCTATATATATATATATAATATATATATATATATATATATATATATATATATATATATATATATATATATATATATATATATATATATATATATATATATATATATATATTATATATATATATATAATGCAAAACAACCACTCTGAAAGAATAGAGAAATTCCAAGCGCTTTCGTGACTACTCACATTATCAAGGAACTGATCTTATTGCATATATATATATATATATATATATATATATATATATATATATATATATATATTTTATATATATACATACATATATATATATATATATATATATATATATATATATATAATATATATATATATATATATATGTGTGTGTGTGTGTGTGTGTGTGTATGTGTGTACTCACCTAGTTGAGGTTGCAGGGGTCGAGTCCAAGCTCCTGGCCCCGCCTCTTCACTGGTCGCTACTAGGTCACTCTCCCTGAAACCATGAGCTTTATCGTACCTCTGCTTAAAGCTATGTATGGATCCTGTCTCCACTACATCGCTTCCCAAACTATTCCACTTCCTGACTACTCTGTGGCTGAAGAAATACTTCCTAACATCCCTTTGATTCATCTGTGTCTTCAGCTTCCAACTGTGTCCCCGTGTTGCTGTGTCCAGTCTCTGGAACATCCTGTCTTTGTCCACCTTGTCAATTCCTCTCAGTATTTTGTATGTCGTTATCATGTCCCCCTATCTCTCCTGTCCTCCAGTGTCGTCAGGTTGATTTCCCTTAACCTCTCCTCATAGGACATACCTCTTAACTCTGGGACCAGTCTTGTTGCAAACCTTTGCACTTTCTCTAGTTTCTTTACATGCTTGGCTAGGTGTGGGTTCCAAACTGGTGCCGCATACTCCAATATGGGCCTAAAAGTACACGGTGTACAGGGTCCTGAACGATTCCTTATTAAGATGTCGGAATGCTGTTCTGAGGTTTGCCAGGCGCCCATATGCTGCAGCAGTTATTTGGTTGATGTGCGCTTCAGGAGATGTGCCTGGTGTTATACTCACCCCAAGATCTTTTTCCTTGAGTGAGGTTTGTAGTCTCTGGCCCCCTAGACTGTACTCCGTCTGCGGTCTTCTTTGCCCTTCCCCAATCTTCATGACTTTGCACTTGGTGGGATTGAACTCCAGGAGCCAATTGCTGGACCAGGTCTGCAGCCTGTCCAGACCCCTTTGTAGTTCTGCCTGGTCTTCGATCGACTGAACTCTTCTCATCTATATGAGGTGTTGTAAGGGCGCAAGTGTGCTTCGCATCCCGAAGGCTGGACATTCTTGGCTAATCTTTTCTTTTCAGCGCCATCAATCATTTGTAGCCGTAATTAACAACCTCATCTACTGTACCAGTAACCTCATTTACTCTACCAGTAACATCATATACTCTACCATTAACCTCATCTACTCCACCATTAACCTCATACACTCCACTATTAACCTCATCTACTCCACAATTAACCTCATACACTCCACTATTAACCTCATCTACTCTCCAAACAATCATAGCTGTTCCTTACGAAAGCATTTTAATCGTTCTTTGAATTAAGAACAACCAAATATTATCCAACAAATTCAACCAATAGTATTTGCTGTTGCCCTTGCTTTCCCAAACATTGATTATTTGCTTTGAATAACTAGGTAAAGGCTGAACTTAGAAAAGAAACACATATTGATGACCACTAACAAATTCACACAACGTATAAAACCTTCATTGCATTGTTCACGCAAATACACTAAGAATCCAAATAAACTTGAGAAAAAATAATTCACAAGTAGAAAATGAAAAGGAGGGGAATTATGGCGTACACTTACAGAGCAAATTGAAAGTCATTATTCATGTTGAACTTTTAAAAGATATTGAGAGTATGCTCGGTCTCAAAGACCGGCTACTGTGTCCCTTACTCTACAATGTTTACCTGGTTGCTGTACATTCGCCGGTATAAACGCCCGACCTATGCCTTTTCCCTTTCACGGGAGTGTCTCAGGCCAATATCTGCCATGGGAAGAGGTGCAAGTACCTCCTCGTCTTCTGGGACTAGCTATTCCTAGGCCTAGCCCCATTCCCCGCCCCCACGGAGCTCGGAGGGAGAAACCAGGCACTTAGGGCTACCACAAATCCTGCCCACACTGGTTTCGAAGGGTGTGGCAGCTGCATAGCAGCAGACGATGCCAGGAGGTGCAAAGGCAGCAAGCACTACAGGATGCTTTTGGAGTCACCCCCAGCTTCAGACATTACGTCTGAGCGCTGGGGAAGCTCAAGAATGCCTCTTGCTGTGAGTGTTGCTGCTGCTAGTTCACTTGTCCTTTGCACTCTTCTCCTTCTATGTGTGTTGACATCTCGTATATGGTATCTGGGCATGGGAATCAACAGCAAGCCAAGATCCTGCTGAGTATGAACTTAGCACCAGTATATCAACCTTTGTGAAGGGAATCCTCTAGCAGAGCCTGTTATGCATCATAATAAACATCAACAAAATACTATTATTCCCTCTTCGTATTCAGGACTGTGCAGTGTAACACTAACACATTTAAGACTCTTCCTTGAGAGTTCAATGGAAACTCTCTAACCATATTTTTTATAGGCATGCACCGGTAAGCCAGCTGAAGGCCTCGGTCAGACGACACAAAAACTCCAGCTGCAGGTTATCGTATGACCAAAACCGGCGTCAGGAAACACCCTATTTCCTGACAAACCTACCTAACCTAGGCCAGTCAACCCCAATGGACAACACACGAGAAATAAATACCTGTCTGAAGTTACACAAGCTCGACTATATGTAGAAATTGTATTTAATATATAGTCCCAAAAATTAACCGGAGAAGCTGTAAGCATTAATTAAGGCATCAACAAATTTAAATTCAATACC